GACCTCTATAAATGCCCTTTGCCTCCTAGTTCTTTCCTCCATTTCCTTTTACTTTCCTCTTGTCCCACTATCATGTTCAGCCTTCATTTGGGTTTAAGACATTCTTCTCAGTTACATTGCTCTTGATCAAGCCCTACCAGGCCTCCTACACCTCCTCGCCATTGATTTTGGGTCACTTGCTGTTCCCTTGTCCCTGGGTTTGTTAGCACCCACTTCCTTCACCCAGCCCCACACCCCACCTTACCCCACCCCACCGCTGCCAAGATCGGTCTGTTGTTTTCTCCTGCAGCTTGTTTGTCCCGCCTATCTTATCTAGATAGACCTGCAGAGATAATAATATGCACACACAAAAACAAGACAGAGCAAAACAAAGCAACAAAGGAAAACAAAACAACAACAACAAAGAAAAGGCTGTAAATAGTTCAAGGTCTGTTTGTTGACCTTTAGGAGTGTTTTCTAGTCAAGTCTGCTGGGGTGCCACACCCTGGCCCCAAAGTCTACTTTTGGTGTCCCTGGGGACTTCCTTGCTGTCTTCATTCTTTGTCTAGGGACCACATGCTCACCAATTGTGCTACTGAAGCTCCCGCCATTCTCTTTGAGTTCCACTTTCTGACAAACTTTTTCAAGCCCCCTTGTGTTGTTCTCCCCTCTAAAGAAGAGTCTCTGATGTTACTGAGAAGCCACAAGGCTCTGATGCCTGTGTTGGTCTACCCTGAATTTACAGCCTCTGACTTGAACATTCTGAGCTGGAGAGAACCTGAGATGCTCTAACAAGGCCTTCCTTGCCTTTTAGGAAGATGCGCACATGGGCCCAAAGAGGAAATGTGACTCTGGTGACACTGCCACCAGAAAAATTATGAGTGAAATCCAAATCACCAGATACACTCATCAGGTTCTTTCAGGAACGCCGCGTGGCCCTCCTGCTCAGGCTTCTGTCCCCAGAGGACCCAGGCTCTCCCCAGCCGTTTCGAGCAGTTGCCTTGGGTTGGATGATCTCAGTGCCCCAAACCCTGGCCTGTCTCCTCACCAGGGCACTTCACTCCACTCTAGGAGACAGACAGACGCAAAGCTGGATCACCCAGCCACTTTTCAATCTATGCTTTGACTTTGATGCCCTCTGACCCTCACCCCTCCTAGTTGGCCCCCCTGAAGAGGGTTGGGGGAACGCTTTACTACAGAAACGTGGAAGGGCTATTTGTCTCATTTCATTGACCTGCTATGAACTCTTGCACAGGATGGGAGTGGTGAGCAGCAAAAGGCAGGTCAAGGAGAAGCCTGGGAGCCAATGGAGCCCCGTGAAGCTCCTCCCGAGCAAGGACCCTCCACCGCTGCCCCCCTTGGTAAGTGATCCATCTTCTCCCTGCCCGAGAGGAGGAGGAAGGAGAGCCTGGAACACGGTGTTCCCTGGGGGCTGCTGCAGATCCCCATCCTCCCCTAGGACCCTCTCTAAATAGTTCCCATAAAGCAGCCCCCTCCAGACCCATCCCTCCCGTCTGCCGTGGAACAGAAGGTTCAGCAGCATGGGCTCTGGAGCCAGAGGACCTGACTTTTCATCTCTTAGCTGTGTGCTTTGAAGCATGTCACTGAACTTCCTTTTGCCTCTGTTTTGACATAGATAAAGTGGGCATGTTAAAAATACCTGCCTGGTACACTGGTACAGACAGGAACTGAAAATACAGGGAATCCAGGACGGATGAGCCCTATAGGACCAGTGGTGTGAGTGGCAAAACAGGGAGGGTAAAGGGAGAATGGGTAGGAAAGAGGGAACCGATTACAGGGAACTGTGTGTGACCTCCTCCCTGGGGGACAGACAACCGAAAAGTGGGTGAAGGGAGACGTCGGACAGGGCAAGATATGACAAAATACCCATTTATAAACTATCAAGGGCTCATGCGGGAGGGGGGAGGGGGAGGGAGGGGAAAAATGAGGACCTAATGTCGGGGGTTTAAATGGAGAGAAAATGTTTTGAGAAAAGTGTACAAATGTGCTTTACACAATTGATGTGTGTATGAATTGGGATAACAGTTGTATGAGCCCCTAATAAAATGTTAAAAAATAAAATAAAATAAAAATAAAAATAAAAATACCTGCCTGATAGGAATGTGACCTGTATGTGATGAGACAGTATGTTACTTTCAGCACAGACCCAGGCACAGGGTTAAAACCGAAACTCACTGTCCTTAATGCTGTTGTTGTTAGGTCCTGTCAAGTGAGTCGCAAATCATCGCGACCCTGAGTGCAAGAGAACAAAACACCACCCAGTCCTGTGCCATCCTCACAGCTGTTGGTACAGTTGAGCCCAGTTTTGCAGCCACTGTGTCAATCCATCTTGTCGAAGGTCTTCCTTGTTTTTACTGCCCCTCTACTTTACTGAGCACGATGTCCTTGTCCAGAGAAGGGTCTCTCTTTATAACACGTCCAAAGTACATGAAACAAAGTTTCTAAGGAGCATTCTGGCTTTACTTCTCCCGAGATAGATTTGCTTGTTCTTTTGACAGCCCATGGTCCTTTCAATATATAATTCAGATGCATTCATGCTTCCTCCATCTTCCTAGTCCACAGCCAGCTCTGGCGTGCATATGAAGCAGCTGAGAGCCCCGGGGCCTGGGTCAGGTGCACCTGAGTCCTCAGAGAAGCAACCTAGCTTTGCAATTCTTTAACAAGATCTTGAGCAGCATCTTTAACCCAAGGCAACGTGTCCTTTGATCTCTTAACTGCGGCTTCCATGAGCATTGATTGTGGATCCAAGCAAGATGAAATCCTTGACAACTTCACTCTTTACTCTGTTTATCATGTTACCTATTGGTAACTATCAATAACTGGTATTGATAGCAACAACACATAGAGTTTACGAGACTGTAAATCTTAAAGGGAGTAGACAACCTCATCTTTCTCATGCAAAGCAACTGCTGGGTTTGAACTGGCAATCTTGAAATTCCTCACAGCATGACCAGGACTCTTTAGTCACATGGTTAGCCCCAAATCCTTCTTCCTCATTTTCATGTCTTAAAAGAGACCTTGATGGTGGTGGGGGTGGGGGTGGAATCAAAATGGTCAGCTGAGAAGAAGGTGTGTGGAGAAAGGTCTGGACATTCAGCGACATTTTTGGCCACCCTCCGCCCTCCCCGCCCACCCCCCAACCTCCAGGA